CTTCTACATCAACATGTGTCCCCTCTTCTTCATGTCTCTTCTACATCAACATGTGTCCCCTCTTCTTCATGTCTCTTCAACATCAACATGTGTCCCCTCTTCTTCATGTCTCTTCTACATCAACATGTGTCCCCTCTTCTTCATGTCTCTTCTACATCAACATGTGTCCCCTCTTCTTCATGTCTCTTCTACATCAACATGTGTCCCCTCTTCTTCATGTCTCTTCTACATCAACATGTGTCCCCTCTTCTTCATGTCTCTTCTACATCAACATGTGTCCCCTCTTCTTCATGTCTCTTCTACATCAACATGTGTCCCCTCTTCTCTCCCCTCTTCTCCATGTCTCTTCTACATCAACATGTGTCCCCTCTGTGGAAAGAGACTCTGAAAGTTTCAGGCACAAAGATTCTCTCTCTTTTTGTCCTGATCCATTTCTATAAAAACCTGTCTGAAAATGAGCTGATCAGATTTTGGCCACTTTATGATGTCATAACAATGTGTTGTCTTGTGTAACCATTAGCCAATCAGCAACCAAGGTAAAGCACTTTGAATTGCCTTGTGTTGAAAGGTGCTATATAAATAAACTTGCCTTTCCTTGCCTCCCACCTAAAAGTTCACCACATTAATCTCTCCCCTCCTCCTCCTCCTCCCCCAGGCCTGTGCCCCTCTCTACTCCTGGAGGACGGAAAAAGATTACCCCCGTTCTGACGCCACAGGAACCTGCTACCTCTCAGTGCAAAACTTCACCAAATTTGTGGAATTTGCACCCTGCCGCACAGGTAACTGTCTCATTGATTAATCTTTACGAGACCTCTCCTGCTGATGTTCAGGTGTATATCAGTATGTAGTGTCTCTACTTTAAAGAGTCCTCTCCTGCTGATGTTCAGGTGTATATCAGTATGTAGTGTCTCTACTTTAAAGAGTCCTCTCCTGCTGATGTTCAGGTGTATATCAGTATGTAGTGTCTCTACTTTAAAGAGTCCTCTCCTGCTGATGTTCAGATGTTTATCAGTATGTAGTGTCTCTACTTTAAAGAGTCCTCTCCTGCTGATGTTCAGGTGTATATCAGTATGTAGTGTCTCTACATGTCTCCATGCTTTAATGTTCAAAAAGCTCTTTATTTTTCTCATACTACCTGTCCTGCAGCACCTCTATTCACCCTTTGTCTGAAACCAGAGCCCAGTCTGCTCTGATTGGTTAGCTGAACAGCTCTGTTGTGATTGGTTTTTAAACTCTTTTCTCAAGAATGTGTCTTGTCTCTCTATGTCCACTTACAGTAGTGCACCTGATTGTAATATATAACAGTTGATAGACACACATTCTTGGTGTAAAGTTATCAATATTGCACATTTCAAAACAGCCAAAGCACCTTTGCATTGTTTCCCCCTGAGATATATCTGACATTAAAACAGTCGATGTCCTCTCCGGTGACATGGGAAGAGACGATGGTGTTCCTGCTGTGGTTTCTTGTTTATGTCCTGCTGACAGTGGTGTCATTGTGAGCTGCAGTGAGTCGGGGGGGTGGCGCCTACACACCGACTCAAACTGCACATTCCTCTCAACACCAGACAGAAACCATGGAGACACTGGCTAGTCACGAACAACACTTTATTATGATATTCCTCCCTCACATAAATAAATCTGCTGGATTCTCCATCATGATCGTCTGTGTTAAACTCATGTTGTTAGAGAAAAGAGTCCTGCTAAAGTCAATCAAGAAAATGTCAGAAACTCATAAAAAAACGTCCATCCCAGGATGTCAAAGTCTTAAATGTCTTGTTTTGTCAGATTAATTAAAACCCAATAATATTCCCTTTTTAATATGACATAAAACAGAAAAATACCGTAAATATTAATACTGAAAACAACATTAACTGACTTGATAATGTGCCCTAACGTTGAGTCCATTATCCAGATAGATCAGTAGATCAACGTATTGTTGCAGCTGCATTACATCACCTGGCTTTGCCTGTGTGTCCTGGCCAAAAAGTTGCCCAACTACTTAGAGGAAGTAACTGTCCATAGATGAGAGCAACCCCTCCCGGTACTTTCCCTCTACGTTAACTTTCTGAGTGAAAACATTCGCTGTCAAATACAGATTCGGAGGTTTCCGCTAATCACATCAAAGATTAAGAATACTTTGCATCTACAAGGAGACAAATTACAACGGTCAGTCAGGCAAACAGTGGAACTGTGATTGGAGATCAATGATCGGCATCGATCTGGTGTAATTAGAAGCAATAGAAGGTCAAATTCCTGCAGGCAGCAGGATGACACTTCAATTGCCTTGGTTTGTGTCAGTGTTGTTTATTTTAATGCAGCATCTACAGTGACTATTTTGACTTTTAACATTACAACTGTTTACTTTGACGCTTGGCATTAGCATCATTAGCATCATTAGCATCATTAGCATCATTAGCATCATTAGCATCATTAGCATCAGAAGCTGTGATGAAGTGTTTGCCACAGACGTACATGTATGGCTGACCGACTGATTGAAAAATGGGACACCTGAGAGTATAGGACCGTAAAAACTTAAGCTGTTGTTATAAAATAAAGCAGCTTTTTCTGACCAATTGACGATAATGTGGAAAATGTTTGTATATCTCGTATCATGCAGATTTGATTTGTTTTTGATCTGTATTTTTGAAAATTATATAACTTTTTTAGTTTTTATCTTTTTTTTTAGCATATTGTTTAT